CGCAGGCATAAATGAGACACATCCATAATTGCCTCTACCATAGCATTCTGGAGCAATTGAAGGTTGTAGATATTCTTCAAGGACAGCTCTATGTAGAGCACATTGCAATAATCTACTCAGAAGGTGACCGAAGTATGAGTAACCGTACCGTGCACATGCCTCCTGATCCAGGAAGGAACACAATTGGTACACAACATGCAATTGTCCAAAAGCAAGTCATGGCTACCACTTATTCTTCAAAATGCAGCCATCACTCAAGAAGATACCCAAAATGCTCCAACCTTTTTTGCCTAGGTAATGGTTTTTGCATTATTTCATCAAAGTCATCTTCCTTATTCCCTACAATACTTCACCTCATACCATCAAATAATCTCATCCCAACTGAGAGTCAGTTTGGTCTAGTGCAGGGGTGTCAAACTGCCAGGCGGCGGGCCAGATGCATGATAGCGAAACCACGCCCAACCTATTGCCAGCAATGGCAAAAAAAGTCAAGATACGTCGTGACACATCACATGACGTTGCGAGTTTGACACCTCTGGTCTAGTCTAGGCTAGGAACCGGGAGATTGTGAGTTCAAGTCCTGCCTTAGTTGACCTCAGGCCAGTTGCTCTCTCTTAGCTCCAACCTACCTCCCAGTGTTTTTGTGGGGAAAATAGGAGGAGGAAGGTGTGTTGGATATGTATGTATGTATGTATGTATGTATGTATGTATGTATGTATGTATGTATGTATGTATGTATGAATAAATAAATAAATAAATAAATAAATAAATAAATATCTGTAGACTAATACAGATTTCTAAATAAGAAAGAGTAGAACTATGAGGCACCACACATAAAGAGGTGCTGTGGGGCAGGCATCGCTATGACTACCACAATAGAGTTATCTGTTCACTAAAAGGTTGCTTTATTGTGCATAACTAAATTAGAAAGAGTCCATCACTCAGAAAGCAAAGAAGTAATATTCAAGTCCTTGAATCTACCACTGTGATGCTCTCTGCCGGCTGCCTGCAGTTTGGTAGTTCAATTCTCACCAGCTCAAGATTGACTCAGCCTTCCATCCTTCCGAGGTCGGTAAAATGAGGACCCAGATTGTTGGGGGCCAAAGGCTGTAAATTGCTTAGAGAGGGCTGTAAAGCACTGTGAGGCGGTTTATAAGTCTAAGTGCTATTGCAACCATTCCAGAATAATTTTGGAGGGGTTTCCCCTCTGGATAGCTACTAATATTAATTAACAGATTGCAGCTCCCTATCTTCTTTTTAATAGATGCCTTAAGATGAAGTCCAGAGGCATTCTTAAGAATAAAGGTGGTGCTAAAACAGTGGTTCTCAACCTTTTTAATGCCGCGACCCCCAACCGGTCGTAAGTCAAGGACTAAACCGGTCGTAAGTCGAGGACTACCCAACCGGTCGTAAGTCGAGGACTTTCCCTGCCCAGGAGCGCCGCACATGCGTGGTTCCGCCCCCTGCGCCGGCCGAGGCGTAGCTGGCAAGCGTCAGAGACGGAGCAGGCCGACCACCAGCTGGTCCAGCTCAAGGGAGGTAAGGCACCCGCCAGAAAAGGGAAAAAAAATGGCGGACAGCCTTGCTTGGCGACCTCCGTGAAATGGTCGATCGACCCCAAATGGGGTCGCGACCCATAGGTTGAGAACCGCTGTGCTAAAATCTGACCTTTTGCTTTGCAAGATGACAAATTCAAAACAATCTAAATAATAATAACAATAATAATGAGGTCTGGGGGAACAGGAACCCGGCAACTACCAAGAGAGGGATATGTGAGCATCAGATTATCTACTCTTAATTTGCAATGACTGCCCTGATTTTCCAAACTTCTCTTCCCAGTACTCTGATAACTTCCTTTTACCTCCGAGATGGCTCATGCCTGAACTTGAACTTGAACTTGAACCTGAGCCTGAATCCTGAATGGTATGTAATTCATCCTGGTAAATGCAATAAGAAAACCATAGTCTGCCACAAAACAAAGACCCCAATACTGCTGCTAAGCTATTTAAATTCTGTATATCACACTTTAATGAGTGCAGACTTTTAGTTAGTAACATGTATTCACTTCCTTCAAAATGTTTTCTATTATACCAGAGTCTGGGCTTTTGCGCCAAAATCTATCCTCAAGACACCCCTGCAAATCTTAGAGGATTTTCTCTCTTGCTTCATGTCTTCATTTTGCAGAGCCAGAAGAGATGATGTTGTGAGAATGAAGTCAGGCAATGCAATAGACGCCCCTCTACCACTGCCCTAGTGGGAAGGGACCATCACTCAATGGTAGAGTACATGCTCTGCAGGCAGAAGATGCCCAGCTCAATCCCAGCCACTTTGAGGAAAACTGATCTGTTATAGGAAAGATATGAAGGCATTGGGTCCACAGAACTGGCTCTGGGCTACAGAAGTAAAAGCTCTGTATCTTCCAAATAAGAGGATTTGTTATGAAAAGAACATAAGAAAATACATAATAGAGAAGCTGCCCATTGGGAATGCATGGGGTCTCACTAAGTAGGAATGTACCAAATATCCCAGAATTGTGGGGGGGAGCACTACCTTGCCCCTTATGCATCCCAACTCAAAAGAAGTTTCTAAAATGTCAAAAGGGCTCCTGAACCACCCATTATTTTGTTGACCTAGAACAGTAGTGGCGAATCTATGGCACAAGTGCCAGAGGCGGCACTCAGAGCCCTCTCTGTGGGCACTCATGCCGTCGCCTGTGGCCCCCTCCTCACCAGCAGCCCCTCTGGAGGAGAGTCGCCCCTGAGCACAGCCGGCGTGGAGTAGCACAGCCAAGGACATGGCAGCCGGGCAGCAGGGACAAGATTCCGCCCTTGTGCCCCGTAGCGCGCAGACGATGCTGCGGGGCGCCGGTGGAGGTCATGGCTGCCATGGCCCTGCTGGGCCACCTGGGCAATCTGCGGCAGGCTGTGGAGGCAGTGGGTGGCCCTGCGGGTGGGCGGGGTGGGATGGGGGCGGAGCGGGGGCAGGCGGAGCCGGGTTTTGGGCACTCGGTCTCTAAAAGGTTCACCATCACTGACCTAGAAGCTGGATCAGTTCATTCTCAGTGCCCCCTATAAAGTGTGGAAGAAGTTATCTTTATCACAGCCAGATGTTCTCCAGAATCTGTCTGGAGAATGTACATGTCAAGGACTTAAAAGAATATGACCATGAAAGAATCATGATTGAAGAAACCAATTCTCCATATTCCTAGACCAAGTTGCTGCTATACTTTTAAAAATATATGTATAAATATGATACCAATTCAACGCCTTCCAAGCCTACTGTATTTCAGGTGTGCAAATCCCATCAGGATGACCTGGGCTTCTCTGAAGGAAGCACAGCTGTGGAAGCCAATATAGTAACTTTTGATGTGTACTTGTCACCATGAAGTAACCTTCTTACACTTGACAGGCGATTGTTCTCTGCTCTAACCTTTCTAAAAAAAAGGTAGTATAAATGCTTAAATCAAATAGGCCACCTGGAAATATGTGAAATATGCATTGGAAGGCTGCATTGCCGCAAACTTAAGGAGCCACATAAGAGGAATACTTTGGCCACTATCCAAGGAAAGGCTTGGCACTGGTGGTGGGAAAGGAGGACCAAGGCTCTGTTGCCTCTGCACATCATTTGTTCCATTTAGCAGCCACAGCAAATGGTCAGAAATAAACTGCTCTCAGCATCTGTGAATCAGTCTTCCTTCAAGCCATCAAACAGAGTGGCCATCACTCCATGTGCTCATGCTTGCATACTTTGTAGGAACAACTTCATTTTCTATTTGAAACTCCAGAAGGTTTTCCAAACAAGGGGGCCAATGGACCTCGTCCCCCTCCTTTCTCCTTTTATGAATCACTTCAACTGAACATGGGAAACATACTATCAAGTTTATTTCAGAAACTTAAAATGGGACACGAGTTATCCAGCAAGGAATGCATTTCCTCTAGCTAGCCACACCGCTGTCTTTCCTGCAACCATTACTTGGAATCGCTCTACAATCCCCTTTTAAACAAGTTTTAATCATATGAAAAAATCTCCCTCTAGTCATGCCCTCCATGCCTCACAGTTTTAAACCTCTCTTGTGACACCTTTTCTGCTTGGTCGGTCTTTGAACCGCAGCGAACCGTACCCTGATTCCCACATGCAACGAACACCGCGGGACGTTTATTACTGCCTTTTTATCCCGCTGGCGATCTCACCCATCCCTTTCACAGGCATGCCGGGCAAGACTCGATGCAGCAATCCTCCAGCGTGCGCGCGATCCCGGCTCTCTCGCACGCTCGCACGTGCAGCTGCAAACCCGCACTTTCGCGGCGCAGCTGCGCAAACAGCGCGGCTCCTTTCGCGGGGCGCCCCGTTTGCTCCTTCAAACGCGCGCGCCCCTACGCACGCAAGCACGAAGACTTCTCCCCCCCCACCTCTTCCCGCCAGAGCCCACCATTTTCGCACGAGGTGGGAGGAGAAGCGACCGCCCTCCGCGGCAAATCACGAAACAGCTCGTTGTTGCAAGTGGACATTCCCAGCCCAGATGCAGAGCGCGGAAAGGGGGCGCCGCACCTCTTCCTCTCTCTCCGTCGCCCGCTCCCTTCGACCCCCCTAGAATCCGGCGCACCTTCTCCGGCATCCCCCACCTCCACCCCGCCTTGCCCTGCCCTGCCCGCTGCAAGAGAGCAGCCTGGTTTAAAAAAAAGAAAAAGAAAAAAAGACCCATCTCGGGAGGAGCGACAGCAAAGTCGCGCAGGGCACGAGGGGGTTAAAAAGGAAGCGAGGACGTTTGCCTGCTCCCAAAACCGGCGGCTCAGTTGTGCGCAGGTTTCCTGCAAAGACCCCTCGATGAAACTGTACCCTCCCGCTAGAGGAGGCGGGCGGGCGGGCGGGCGGACGGGGGGGGGAAGGGAGGGAAAGGGTGCTCCCTCAGCCAGCGAGCCAGCCCGCAACCCAGCGCAGCGCAGCAGCCGCGCGCGCGTTGCCCAGCGGCGCAGTCCGGGGCCGCGCAGCTTTCTCCTTACTTTTCTGGCTGGAGTACCCGGGGTAGTAGCCATAGTAGCCGGTGATCCGAAGGATTCGGTCCTCGATGGTGGCTACCCCGTTGGGCGCCGCCTTGACATCCATGCAGAGGGGCTCGGACCGCCCGTCCGGGCTCGTCAGGGGGTAGCGGCCGAGGCGGCGAAGGAGGAGGAGGAGGAGGTGGAGTCGGCCGCGGAGCGTTGGGCAAAGGCTGGACTCGGCTGGGTCTCCTGCCGCGCCTGCAGCGGTTGCAGCGTGGGCCAGTCTGCTGTGCTTCTTGGCGGCCGTTGCACGGCGGCTCCTCGGCGCACCTTCTCCACAGCTTGGTGCAAAGAGCGGCTCCTCTGCATGATCGCCGAGGCCGCCGCCGCCGCCCCCCGTGTGGCTTCCCCAGAGCCAGCCTCCTCCTCCTCCGCCCCCTCCCGCCTCCGCGAAGTTTTCGTGCGGCTCTTTCCCGTCCAGTTCCACGCCACGAGCGGCCAAACTTAAGTCGGCTGGGAGCGGACGAAATCGAGGAAGGGGCGCGGGCAGGACTCACCCTCCCTCCCGTCGAAGGAAGAGTTGGATCCGACGGGGAGCCCACCGGAGACTTCGGAATACAATCCCCATCACTCCCGACCGGTTAGGAGTGATGGGAATCTTTCTGTTCCCTAACCAATGCATTGGGATTTCAGGGCCTTTTCAACACCAAGATTCAGTCAGAAGAGAGCTGGAAGGGACCTTGGAGGTCTTCTAGTCCAGCCCTCTGCTCAAGCAGGAGACCCTGTACCATTTTCAGACAAGCACATTCCTTCTTTCTCCTCGCTCAGATATATTGGATCACAACTCTCGTGCTCAGCCAACATGGCTAATAATACAATAATACTTGATGGGAGTTTCAGTCCAGCACATTTGGGAAGTGCCAGGAAGGGACAAGTGTTAAAGAGTCTCTCTGGAGCTAGTTGTATCAAAATCTAATGAAAGGAAGGAAGGAAGGAAGAGAAATGGGGAAAGGGGTAAAAGAAAGTGTTAAATATTGAGAAAGTGAAATATTTATGAACAATCTGAGCCATGGTATTCCCTGTGACACTCTATGCAAGTGAAAGTTGCTGCAGCCACACCAGGAGGGACAGAAGATAAAGGCTGCTGACACACAGAGAATAATAGAATTGGAAGGGACCTTGGAGGTCATCTAGTCCAACCCCCTGCTCAGGCAGGAAACCCTATACCATTTCGGACAAATGGCTGTCCAGTCTCTTCTTAAAAACTTCCAGTGTTGGAGCATTCACCGCTTCTGGAGGCAGGTTGTTCCACTGATTAATTGTTCTAACTGTCAGAAAATTTCTCCTTAGTTCTAGCTTGGTTGATTAGTTTCCATCCATTGCTTCCTGTCCTGCTTTCAGGTGTTTGGAGAATAGGTTGACCCCCTCTTCTTTGTGGCAGCCCCTTAGATATTGGAACACTGCTATCATGTCCCCCCCCTCCGTCCTTTTCATTAAACACAATTTTGCCATGGATTCTCTTTCCTCTGGAGGAAAAGGATAAAGGAAGTAACTGCCTCCTTTGTAAAAGGCTAAAAGGTTCCAAAAGTGGTCCCTTTCTGACTAACATCTGCAGCTGTGTGTATTGTCTGTGCCCAGACCCACAAGGTCACGGCGTATTCTACTCTCTGGAAATGATACGTGGGATTTTAAAGAGCAGTGCAAATTATACTATAAATTTTATTGCAGGAATGAAGGACCAGATAATAACATGGGGTGATCTTACTTAGCCTGAACTGGACACCTCTACCTCCAAGCCTTCCCTTTCTATTGATACCACCATTTTCTAAGATAAACAGCTTTCTTTATTTTACCCATATATCAATTTCCTTTACACTTTCCAGCCTGATTTTTATTTCCCACTCCTTTCCTTCCAGGGTTATCAAGTAGCTCCAGTTTGCCTGCTCTGCCTATATGTAATTCAGCATCATGTAGGGAAGGAGAATATTTACTTACTTGCTTGCTTGCTTACTTACTTACTTACTTACTTACTTACTTACTTACTTACTTACTTACTTACTTACTTCATAAATGTCAAGGCAACAGACATAATATTCTTTCCTCTTCCTGTTTTCCTCACAACAACAACCCAGTGAGGTGAGGTGCATCGAGAGAGAGTGACTGGCCCAAAGTCACCCAATCAATTTTCATGTCTAAGGTGGCAGGACTAGAACTCAGAGTCTCCTTATTTCTAACCTAATACCTTAACCTTTTAGGCCAGTGTTTCTCAACCTTGATCATTTTAAGGCATGTGGACTTCAACTCCCAGAATTCCCAGCAATGCTGGCTGTGGAATTCTGGGAGTTGAAGTCCACATGCCTTAAAATTGTCAAGGTTGAGAAACACTGTTTTAGGCCATAGAACAAATTGTGTCCTCCAAATTGTTCAGGAATTAGTCAATTGCCTGAAAAAATATTTGGCCAGTCAGTCATATGGTCTGAATGCAACCATTATGGCACCACATCTGCTTTTCTTAAACTGCATTGGGAATAAAGAATGGATCATCCAGTGAAATTGATAGGAGGGAGCTTCTATTCAGAAAACGAAGTTCTCCTTTATAAAAAAAATCTGTAATTATGATGCTCCCTGCCAGAAGATGGGGCATCGATTCATAGGTGACCGTTAGCTGTCATTTAAGAAAAAATATCTTTGAACTTTTGAACAATGCAATTGTAGGCCACCCAGAGTTGCTTTGTGTGAGATGGGCAGCCGTATAAATTTGATTGGTTGATTTATTGAACAAACAAATATAGGTGAAAGGAGCAAGCAGTAGAAGCTTGTTACTTTCACTCCCTCTTTGGAGATTTCCCAGAAGTATCTAATTGATCCCTACTGAAACCTGTCTGCCTGACTGGATGCATTTGAGTCTGAAGTAGCACCCTTTTCTTAGGTTCTTAAATTATTAATTCTCCAGTCCTTTAAAACAGTGTTCGGTAACCTTGACAACTTTAAGCTGGTTTTGTTTAATAAATATATATTTACAAAACTATAAGCTGGGATGAATATCTTTGAAGAAAATAAGGTCAAACAGAGATTTAGTAAACAGTAGGTGTTCACATATGTATGCCCAGGTATCTTGATTTTAACATGCACCTATGTGATGACATGAGCATGAGTAAACCACCATTTCCTGCGAAACAGATTTGATTTTTTTAAAAAGACTATGTGGTTATATATTTGATGTTACAATCAGCCAATCAGGAGTAGAGTTTGTAGACAGAACAGCAAACGTGGTACATGCAGGTGGGCAGATGAGGAATTAGCAAAAATAGCAACAGAAGAGGGTAACTTCATTTGTCCTTTCTAATGCCCGTGAAACATCATTTGGTCAAAACATGTTTTTTTCAAACATTTGTTCTCACTATAGTTTTGTTCTTATTCTTGTTCAGAAACATCATGCAGACTAGTCTGAAAGGAAATAAAATATATCCTTAGTTTCCTTTTATACTTGTTCTTTTTCTTTCAGACAATGGTACCTTTTTATCACATCAACTGCTTCGCACACTTATAGGAATATACAACTGCTGTAACCTTTCCTCTCCCACTGTCCTTTCCTACCTCATATACCCAATAAAAGCATTTGACTGTCTTCCAAAATACAATTGTCTCTAGTAGGTTATTAACTATTCAACACAATCCATGACTTCTTTTGGAAAGGTGTAAGCTCCACATCTGGTTCAAGGTTAAGAACCATCAGAAGGGAGAAAAAAGATGTTTCAAAACTTGTCCTTCAGTAAGAAGCAGAACCTAGAAAAGAAGCAGAACATGTCTATGGGTCACCTTGTTTCCCATTAGAATGATATATAGTGCTTTTGTATTAGCAATCATAATTATTTCCAAATTCGTAGATAAACAAAAATACTTAATGTAACTCATAGATAAATATTAACATTTTCATTCCATTCTTCAACCCCCCAAAAAAGCCTTCAGAGTAGTTTGAATCAATAATCAATTTGAAATATACATTCTTACAATCTAAAAGTTAACGTATAAAAGCAAAAGAAGGATCAGGAAGGAAACAAAAATATAAACACAAATCAATCTTGGCATATTTTAATGGCAATCAGGTTGCCTTTTTCCATGATGCAGTCTGTTCAGTTTAATGATACTAAATATAGTAAGTGAACTCTTGGCCACACAGTAGAGAGACCAGCAAAACACTCAAGTCTGTTGGAGTCTGAACTCCAACCATACAAAGAGTCCTTTTTGTCAGAGCACCTGGGTGTGAATCATTTTTTTTTCTAGGTAGTTTTACTTCTTTATTTAGACTTCAGGACAATCTCTTTATATGCTTTAATATGCTTTAATAAATAAAGCCTTAAACCTTGCTTCAACTCCTGAAATCTTAGTAAAGGCTATGTTAGTAGTGATTAGTGTGTAAGACATTAATATGAAATGAAAATGTGTTAATGTTGTAATTAATGTAACATCAGTGAAAGGTGCTATATAAAATCTTTCCTATCTCTTCTATAATCTCCAGGCTGTAGACAGCTTTGTTCAAAGATCTCGCTAAAAAAGATTACTGAATATTTCTACAAGCCTTTGATTCTCTTTGGGGTTTTAAGTATCCCAAAATAAGTTGGAACTAAATGATAATACTCAGGGTTTCAAGAAGTCTTTTGATCTTGGCTGCATGTCTTTTTTGTTCTTAATATTAATTAAAACTGCCCTTCATAAAATAGGAAATTGAGGTTCCTCTATTAAAATCGCAAAGTTCAAAGGTCATCCAGCAAAGGTGTTTGGAAAGACATGTTTAAAAAACAAGAAAATGCTTCTTCACACAGTGCATAATTAACCCATGGAATTCATTGCCACATGATGTGATGATGACCACTTATTTGATATCTTTAAAAAAGAATTGGAGACCCTTAGGAAGGACACCTTGTCCAAAGGTTATTGGACAAGGAAGGAATCCATATTGAAGTACTCAGAGTTGGGGAGAGCATGCCTTCAGATGCCAGTCACAGGAACAATAGTAACAGAAAGATATGTCTTCATATCTTCCTTGTGAGTTCGCCAGAAGCATTTGGTTGGCCAGTGTGGGAAAGAGAATAACTGGGCTAAGATGGGTCTTGGGCAGCTCCA